GTCTGTAAACCTTATTGTGTGCCACATGTAGGGTGGCACAGTGATGCCAATTCAGCAGCCTGGGTGGTACATATACACACAACAACCACACTATTGCCAAACACACACGGTCATGACCGGCCACTTAAAGTCTGGTATTGGCGTAATGCCTGGGGTGAAGCAATCTTGTATTTTGTGGGGCTTTATAAGAAAGATTAGACACATTCAAAGAGAGTTACAGAACATTTGACCACACAGACAATCTCCTGCTGGAGTAAAATCTACTTTTGGGGGTTTAAACCTACAACATTTTTGGTTACCAAACACAAGCCGCAACACGCAACATAAAGCTGGGTTCAATTTGCAGCTTATTTTGGTCGAAGTGTAAAGAAACCAACAACTTTTTGTTTTGTTTTTAATAGATTATACCACACTAAGAGATGGACGTGGGAAAAACTGAATCAAGTATGCCATAAAACCTTGTGCAACCAGCACTTTCACAAATTGCTCAAGGCCTCTTGATTTCTGAAAATATCTTGCATTCTTGTTATTGTGTGGGATGACTTTTAACACCAATAAAATGTCTCGGTTACATTTGTGCATTTTTAAGGTTTCTTATTGAGGCAGCAAAACCGACGATCAGAGCGCCTTTAAACATCAGGGAGAAAAAATATGCCACTGAAATATGGTAATGTGAGTTTTTAGCACATTTTTAGTTCACTTTGAAATTAATTTTTGGTATGTTTTATCTTACCTTAAGGGCATCCAAGATGTAGGTGTCTTTGTTTCCGCAGTAGTTTCAATTTTGATATTTTTAGGTCAAACCGTTCTTGTCTGTCAGTCATATAATGGAGGTCTATGGTCACCACCTCAAAGAGCATGCACAGAGAAGTCCAAATTAAACATGATTTAATGACTCGTAAATGTAAGTACACATTGATGGCCTAAGACACGAAACGAGCGGTTTGTGTTTGGAAAAAAAAAAAGTATTTATATAGTTTTTACCTCTTGTAGTCACAAAGCGCACGCAGTCGCAGATCACTTGGATGTGGCTGTGTTTACAAGAGGTAAAAACGATATAAATACTGTTCGTTTTCTCTCACAAACCGCTCGTTTCTTGTCTTAGGCCATCAATTAATTTGGACTTCTCTGTGCATGCTCTTTGAGGTGGTGACCATAGACCTCCATTATATGACTGACAGACAAGAACGGTTTGACCTAAAAATATCAAAATTGAAAATACTGCGGAAACAAAGACACCAACATCTCTTGGATGCCCTTGAGGTAAGATAAAACATATCAAAAATCTATTTCAAAGTGAACTATCCCTTTAAGGGAAGCGGCGGCATGTACTGTAGGCGTTGTGGTTCATCAAGTGTGTACAGCTGCATATTGCAATACAATATGAGTATAATAGTATGCCATTCCAAGCACAACCTGATATAGGGATGAATTATCCCTTGAATATGAGCGAAATGTAATGCGATGAATCTCTGGACACAATTAAAACAGGCACACACGATCTGGCTGCTCATAATAATTTAAATATGACTGGAATCTCCTATATAGGATCGGAGCTGCGTGGCTTGAAAGAGTTGAATCCATGTGGTTCCGCTTACAACCCAGAACCCAGTAAATCAGAGATGAAAAGGCCTTCGCTCAAATCAAATCATATATTAATCTAGTCTTCCAGGACGGACATGCTTTGTTGAGCTGAGCCGTTTGAGGTATCGTTGTGTGCTAGGAGTTTCCAAAGACACGAAATGAAAGCAACATGTCGTGAACGACCTCACCTCAGCAAAAGTCACAACAGGCAAGAGTAGGCTATCTACAGTCGACCTTTGACCTCACCGCTGAATCAAAAGGTTCTTCATGCGTTTTGCTGATAATCAGGAGTTTTAAACCCGCTTGTATGCTGAATCTGATTTTATTGTGCTTATGTTTGGGATCTAAGAGACATTTAATATTATTAAGATGAAATTAGGGGCCCATATGCACATGTATAGGCCTACAGATGCTAAACGCCACTACTGTAAAAGGGTTAAAGGCCCATTTACACTAAAACGATAAACATAATACACCAGCGGATGATATCATTCTGTTTTTTTTTTTAAGCGCGAGTTTGTCGGTCACTTTAAATGCTGAACTTTATAATAAATAGGCCTAATAATGATTAAAAAAACTTTAAATGCCCAACCTTTACAGCAGGATGGAATCTGATTGGCTCAATGTCAATGTTTTTGTGGTTCATCAGCTGGATAAAATCGTCCTGAAAGTGATTCCGATATCGTTTATAGTTGTGGTGTGAACTATTCTATTCTTAAATAGTGTGAACGATTTTTAGAAATAGCTTTATAGTTGTTGTGTTTATAGTTGTTGTCCTTGGTGTGAACAAGCCTTATAGCGCCAAAATATATAGTTCTAAAAATTATAAATGTAAAAGAATAGTCTACACACCATGATAACAGCACAGAGAAATTACATTGTTGGAATTATTTTTTAGAACGATTTTTTTTTCCAGCTGATGAACGATACAAATATTGACAGCCAATCAGAATCCATCATTAAAGAGCTCGAATATTTAAAGCGGCAGAAGACAAAACTGCAGCGCGCGCCTAAAATAAACAGAAATATCGTTAAATGTAGTTATCATTATCTTTATTGATGTGAACAGGCCTTTAATCTCGATATTTATACATACTCTATGTGTTCATTTCTTTCAACATTAAAAACTTCACCATGAACACGCGGCACCTGACCTTTCTTTCTTTTTTTCTTTCTTTTTTTTTTTTTTTAAAAAAAAACACCTGTTTTTATATTAAATGTTATATATAGATATGTGAAATAAAAAAAAAATGTATGTAAGATATTTAGTAATGTTCGTGTAAAAGTAACCTTAAACCTTATACTACATTAAAGCATGACAAAATAAACAGTAAAGAATTACGTTTCCCTGTTTTCTGTTTCACTGAATATTATTTAGTGCTGTTTAATAGCTAGTGCTGTATACTTAGCCTACCAAAACTTATAATACAAAAATAAAAATATCTCTGTTAAATGAAGTCAAGCACTTTTTAAAAAAAAATAAATAAAAATAAAGTTTGGCAATAGCTGTATAGCCTACAGCTCAAGCTCTTATTTACCCAAATGCTAGGCTATATCTAACAATCTGCCATTTCTTTTTACACATTATTTCAATTTTATCTCTACTTTGAACTGAGATCAGATGAGCAGTGCATTAATGTCTTCTGGCCTTTGAGTTTTAAATCATGATGTTAAAGTCATCAGTTCAAACACTCGGAGAGATCACACGAGTGCGCGTGCGTGTGCGTATGCGCGTGCACTGTAATTCACATGGACCAGGAATTTCATGCGGTCAAATCCACAGAGGTGAGAGTTTCTCAAGTTCAACCCAACGCGGACATGCTCATTTGAAGATGGTGAATCGATTCAGCTCGGCGAATCTTTACTGCCCTGCAGGTCAGATGCTTTTACATCAACATTCGTCAAATCGATTAACTGGACGAGTTTTAGGCTATAGTCCCGCTTTTACACTTCATATTTCAAACGCTCATGCAGAAGGCCCGAGTGCATGCATATAGCCTAAACTACAGTGCTTGATAGTTTTCTTTCTAAACATATAATAAAAACAGGAACGTTCTATCATATTTCATAATTCATTTTGCCTTTATTTTCATTCGAAAAAGCATAAACATGATCATGAAACACACTCCAGCTATGCCAAAAAAGCAAAATATCCAGTTCAAGTTTTAGAGAATGAATTACCAGAGGCATTCTGCAGTATATCCTCAACGAGTGATGAAATCCCTGCTAAACTCCCAACACAATCCAAAGCAAACGAGAGAAAGAAAAATCTCCGACTTTTCCATGTCAAAGCGTGCGCGCGCAAAACCTTTCCACAAACATCAGGTTTATCATTCCATCATTAGCCCCATCGAGTCTGACTTGTTTTAAAGAAACTCAACGCATATTTGTGTCAGACCGAAGGCGGGTCTGTGCAACTCAACATCTGCTCTATTCACGTGACGTTAAGAAAAATATGAACAACATCTGGTTAAAATAAGTTTGATTCAGGTGCTTGAGCTCCCTCTTTCACTCGCTCTCTTTCTGCCTCTCCAATTCCCCAAACCAATGGATTTGAACGCGTTTCTGACTGGAAATCGAGAAACAATCACACCCTGCTCGCGTGTCTCCTAAAACATCTTCACATTCTGTAGGCCTAAAAAATATTCCGGCGCTCATTTATAATTTACAATAATTATCATATATTATTCGTTTGCCTCATTTAAATGTAGGCATATTTCTATTATTATTAATATTATTCCTGGTTATTTTTATTGCTTGTTGATAATATTTCTCTCTGAATCGGTTGTAAAATGCTCGAGTTTGGCTGTTTTGACCCTCTCCGTGACCTTCCCGACCCTTCACTTTATAGACATCTGGGAATTCCATAGATGTTTGGGTGCGATACACACCTTCACATGATTCTCCACAACATCTGAACGCTTTCCCAGACCTCCTGTCATGGATTTTTGGGTTCCTTTTGGGTTCAAATGCCCGCGCAAAATGACACAAATGTCTTAATGACTGCAGAAATATTTATTATTTACTGTGTTATTCTTCCCTGATGTGTTGTCATTTGCCGTAGTGGAAAATAACACGCAAATATAATTTTTTGTGTATTAAAACAGTTTCTTTTATTTCGTCCAAATGTTTAAAATCATTACTAGCCTAAATAAAATGACATTTTGGCCGAAATCCACTCAGAATAATAATAAAGATAACTATTATTGAATAATCCTCTCGATTTAATGTTAAATAGGCTAGTGTAAAATATTTTCCGTGCAAAATATCTAAATGTCTATGCTTTTTTTTATTAAACAACATAACATCCAAGACTTTTTATTTTTAAAATCTCATCGAATGATTATTGCAGATGTTCCTGCGTTTACAAACTACTTTTTTATGTATTCTGCATAACAACAACATGCTAAAATAGGTCCGTTTCAAACCATGTTTTATTGCAGAAAATATACACATATTTACATCGTATTTAAAATAAAAAATGCATGTAGACACCAGATCTCTCTGCATTGACAATCATTAATAAATAAATAAATGTCTTTTCTAGGACCAGTCAAAGAAAGTGTTGACGCAGATATGAGCCGATTCTTTCAGAAATAAATATGACGACACGTCAAATGTGCATTGAGTCTCTGTTGCTGGACGGAAGCACATGTTTTCCACATTCCCCAGATGTGACCGTAATTCCTGCTCGCATGTCGTACTTCACTCCTGTAAGTGCTTGCAACGACGTCATGATGCTCCAGAAGTTTCCCTTTATAATCCTCATTTTCGCCATTGTTTTCGTGTCGCTCCTTCCAGTGAGTTCCGCTGCTCTGACTCCATGCTTATGGCGGAAAATCTGAAAAATAAAAATGAAAGTGTGTTAAAAAAAATCCATGCAACATTTATCTAATAATAACAACATGAATTTAATTCCTTAACTTAGTATTTATAGGCCGTAAATAATACCAGAATACAGTTGCACGAGAAAATATTTCCAAATAATTATTGGTGTTTGTTTATGCTCCTCAAAGAACTGTGTTTTGAAAATGCATGACAATCTTTTAGGAATAGTTGATCAGCCAAAGGTCTTCTCATACATCTCCTCATAGGCTACTTTACGAGGCCTATCACCCATTTCTACATTGCACAATGATAATAAAACCATTCAAACTAACACAGACACATGCATGTGAATGATAGCGACCAAAACATGTGAAAGCTTAAAATCTTTGTTGTTTAAAACTCAGCGAACTTCTCGAGGTGCATCCTGGGATGCTTTTGATGATGAATCCTTCTCAAAAACTACTAAAATGTATAGGCTATGACTATATTTGTCTGCAAAACAACTGTGAAACATTTATAAACCTCTAGAATTTTTTTTTTTTTTAAGACAAGTCTGTCCAAATATTTGGACTCATCCGAAAAGTGTTTAATTTGAAAGTGCATACCATGCAGCATCCGAAGCGCGCGCGTCCGTGCACTAGTGTGATGTTGACAAGGACCACGCGCCCTCCATTCTCCACACGGAAAACGCGTAACTGAGCCTCTCGTGCGCCACATAACTGCAGCTGGACATCTTGGAGTCCAGCTCGTCGCTCTGCAGCACCTGACAGAGGAAATCAATGTACCGGGCGGCCAGTTTGAGAGTCTGTATCTTGCTGAGTTTGTCCGAGGGTAACGTGGGGATGATTTTGCGCAGAGACGCGAACGCCTCGTTCAGAGACTGAGTCCTCTGACGCTCGCGCACGTTCGCCATGACGCGCTGCGTATGCAGGTCCTCCAGAGACTGCGGGCTGTCGTCGCCGCCGCTGTTGCTGAGCTTCTTGCTTCTCTTCCCGGGAGTGGGACTGTCGGAATCCTCTCCGTTCTTCCGGCTCGGGCGTCTCTTCCTGCCGCTGCTGCGTTTCTGCTGTCGCCTGTGGTCGAGCTCCTCCTCGCTGTTGCCAAGACTGTCCACTGGAGACTCCGGGGAGCTGGACTCCTCGTGCATCACCTCTTCCTCAAACATCACCTTCACAGTGAGAGGAAAAGCTCGGATGTAGCCTATGTCGTGGTGGGGTTCTCCGTCTCCAGCGGGATGGGGTCAGGGTGTCTCCTCGTGCGTCACGGAGGTGTTTCTCAAACTTGAAGGCAACTTTGGAGGCTCTTATAGTCTGGAAGGCGCAAACTTTTTGGGGTGGCCTGTGATTGGACAAGAAGCGGCGTTGCGTAAGAGAGGAGAGGCGGGAGAGAGCCGAGATTCCGTTACACAAGAAACCGTTCTTTAACTCGAGCCAATCACAGCGCTTCGTTTAAACTAAACACAACATAGCTACACACCGACGATGACATATTCTGTCATACATTGATGATGATGTTTCTGTATTTCAAATCTAAAATCTAATACAATCTATTTCGGGGATTTTCAGACAACCATATTGAAATTATAACATCCATCATGCCGTCAAAATATTGAACTTATGATAAGATCCAATGAAAATACTGAAACATTCAATACTAAAACATGTGTTGACAAATTTATTATAGGCTGGTGATTAATTTTGATAAATGAGCTGCTGAACTGAACATATTTAGCCTTTTAGTCTGAATAGAATAGAATATTTGGCATTGAATGCATTTCTTAAACACATCAAACACTAAAATTATAATTATGATAAAATACTGAAACACATTTAGGCTATTATATGCTGGCGATTTAATAAATGAGCTGCTGAAATGAACATATAATTAGCCTTTTAGTGTTTTAGATGTTGTAAACAATATAATACAGAATATTTGGCATTCAGTTCGTTTTGTATACAAATAAACAAACACTAACGATGTCATTATGTCAAAATTAGATGATCTCACATTTATTACATTACGCACCGAATCTTTGGCTATTTTACCAAATCCATTACAATGATTAATATGCCTCTGTAATCAATAAAACTGGACAGATTTTGTGATTTGTGACCTGGCAAATGCTCTCAGTGTGTAAACGTTTCAAAGTGAGGATTTTCTTTGTTCAGTATAGCGATGCATTACATTCTTAATGTATTGAAATAATTCACAGCCAATTTACACACTGGCAGCTCTGAAAAACTGCCATTATTCTGAAATCCACCTCGAGCCACTGTAAAAGAAAAGAAAGCCAATCTGGTTTGGCTAAGCGGAGCTCTTTGTTTATTTGAGCATGTTCTGAAATGCGTGTCTGTGTTGGTGTTTTTGCAGAGTCAGGTTTCCTTCTGCCGCGTTTTCATTCGCAGCGGGTCGCCAAAGCGCAGACGACGCGCAAACTGTGTGGCCTCTTCAGTCCAACACAAACACACTCCCCGAGCTGGCCTTTTGCTTTCACACAGATCCGAGACCTGCATTATCTGCACAGACCCACACAAACCGAAGTCTTACGCGGCACGGTTCTGTAAATGTCACACAACACAGCAACATTATACATTCCAGTTTAAACCACTAAAAGACGTAGACGCTCCCTTTTAAGTGGGTTGAAGATTCCGCAAGGTGGCGCACTGACGAAACTTATCCATGCGTCTCATCGTGCGTAAATGCGCATCTCACAACAACTGTGATGTGGCTTGAAGATTCACCAGAAGGATGACAGGCACATATGTGTCATTTATATTGTAATGCTATACATAAACGATCGAAATGTTATTTAAAAGTGTCCACAAATGGTCATCTTGGGAACGGAAGGTCCAGGCGGAGCACTTGTTGTTGGTGGATCTGTAATAGTTGTCAATTAAACTCGTCAACAATCCTGGAACAAATCCTCATACCTGAAAGACACTCGAAAATCCCCAAATCCTCCAAATTCCGAATAAAAAATCGCACAAAAATGCAGAAAGTTATATATAATTCTTCCCATCTAAAATGGATAATTATTTGGATCCCGACCTAAAGGATCATATATATATTATGTTTGTTATATATATATTTGTTTCCAAAAGGTATAAGCCTATAAGATTACCAATATGTCAAAATGCCACTTTTGGATATGAACAGTTATTTTGGGAGTATTTCTGGATTTCATATGAGATTTATTGGATAACTGTCCAGTAGCAAAACATTATTCCAGTATAGTTCTTATATATTACAGAATATCCAAAAGGATTATAAGAGTCAAATAAGATCATAATGGATAATTCCATAGAGAAGTTTTGGACTAAAAACTTTTCAGCTGTAAAACCATTCATACATTAGATAGACTTGGATGTCATTTCAACTTAAATTACATTAAACTGACTAAAAGGTTGTTTTAACATGTTGGTCATATAATTTATTACAGTAGATAGATAGAGAGACAGATAGATAGATAGATAAAAAGATGGATGGATAGATAGATAGATAGATAGATAGATAGATAGATAGATAGATAGATAGATAGATAGATAGATAGATAGATAGATATGATTTGAAATGATTAAAATGATTAACTCCGACAATCATTACCGGGTCAAAGTAGGCCAGCAACAACAGAGAAATAATAATAACGATTATAATCAATATTTTTTTCCATAATAAACTTTAAGTACCTTGATAAACGTTGATCTAAACAATGCAATTGAAATATTGAATATAAGTTCAGTTGTTCTCGAGCATGTCCGTCATGAAGGCGATGTAGATGATGGCCAGGCGCAGAGTCTCGATGCGCGACAGTCTCTTCTCGTAGGCGAACGTGGGAACTTTCCCGCGCAGACGCTCGAACGCCTCGTTCAGGCTGAACATCCGTTTGCGCTCGCGGATGTTCGCGGCCCGGCGCTGCACGGTGCTGATCACCCGCTTGCGTTTGGCTTTGCCGTTACCGGAACCGTTCACGGTCAACCCCGGAGACGCGGCGGGCGACGACAGTGCGTAAAAGTCCTCTGATCGAGCAGTGTCGAGCGCATGGATGGAAGTCAAGTCCTGGTACCGTCCATTTCGCGGGTCTCATTTGGCGCCATCTCCACGGAATCCACATCCCTGACCAAATCAAAATCCCAGGACTCAGAAATGACCTTTGCACATCCATAGTTTTACAAAACAGGAGCCTAAAGGAGGAAACACACTAAAGAGCACATGACCAGACTTCATGCATTTAAACCCAGATTAAAGTCCTGCTTCTGAAAAGGTGGGAAGGTTTGTTGTTGAAAAGGTGGGTCGCGTGGATCACCAAATTCAATTTCGAAATCCGGTCAGGTCCGTGAAGTTAGATCCTCTTTGGCAACAGTCCATGATCCCAGTCCTGCTGTTGTATTATGTCTCTTAATTCCACCCAGAGTGTGTCCTCTTTTAATGTCTCCAGTTGTGGACAAAATCAAATTGGCCAAATTGAATGAAGGGCACTTGAGGGCCGATGGCCTCTCCGAGCAGAGCCGAGGGCCAGTGAGCCTGAGACGGGACGAGGGGCTTGACAAAGGGTCACTCGCTCTGTTTGTTCGGTTTCCTGGTCACTGAAAGGCTAAATAATGAGTCTTCTATTACAGAGAAAGACCAAATATAACATTCCCCAAGAGCACACTACACTTCCACAGCTTTTCTTTTGCAAATTAGTGCAAATAGTTGACGGTTGCCGTGGAAAAGACAGTTTCCACTGGTCACTTTAAGAGAAACTACATCCAAGGCGGTGACGTCTATCTATCTATCTATCTATCTATCTATCTATCTATCTATCTATCTATCTATCTATCTATCTATCTATCTATCTATCTATCTATCTATCTATCTATCTATCTATCTATCTATCTATCTATCTATCTATCTATCTATCTATCTATCTATCTATCTATCTACCTTTCTGTCTGTCTATCTATCTATCTATCTATCTATCTATCTATCTATCTATCTATCTATCTATCCACCTTTCTGTCTGTCTATCTATCTATCTATCTATCTATCTATCTATCTATCTATCTATCTATCTATCTATCTATCTATCTATCCACCTTTCTGTCTGTCTATCTATCTACCCACCTGTCTGTCTGTCTATCTATCTATCTATCCACCTGTCTACCCACCTATCTATCTATCTATCTATCTATCTATCTATCTATCTATCTATCTATCTATATATCTATCTATCTATCTATCTATCTGTCTGTCTGTCTATCTATCTGTCTATCCATCCATCCATCTATCTACCTATCTACCCACCTGTCTGTCTATCTATCTATCTATCTATCTATCTATCTATCTATCTATCTATCTATCTACCCACCTGTCTGTCTGTCTGTCTATCTATCTACCCACCTGTCTGTCTCTGTCCGTCCATCCATCCATCCATCTATCTATCTATCTGTTTGTCTACCCACCTGTCTGTCTGTCTGTCTGTCTATCTATCTATCTATCCACCTGTCTGTCTGTCTGTCTATCCATCCATCCATCTACCCATCTACCCACCTGTCTGTCTGTCTATCTATCTATCTATCTATCTATCTATCTATCTATCTATCTATCTATCTATCTATCTATCTATCTATCTATCTATCTATCCACCTGTCTAACCAACCTGTCTGTCTGTCTATCTATCCACCTGTCTGTCTATCTATCTATCTATCTACCTACCTACCTGTCTATCTATCTATCTATCTATCTATCTATCTATCTATCTATCTATCTATCTATCTATCTATCTATCTATCTATCTATCTATCTATCTCAAAACATAGTCCTTCATTACAGATCCTCCACTCAAACTTCAGCTCTCGAAAGAGTTTCTGATGAAGTAGCAACATTCACACGCGGATGTGGATGAGTTAGGAAGCGTTTATTCCTCAGCCAGGCGATGAGTGTGCTGTTAAATGCTGAGGTAGAGGAGCAGATAAATGTGTGTGTGGGCGACTGGTGGGTTTTGCTTGCAGTGTGTCCCAGAACACAGTCAGCGGGAGTCGCTTTATGTGGTCTTTCAGTTCGTAAGAAACACTCATGATCTGCTAAATACAGACGGAAACCAAAACACTCCATCATCATTAAAGGCTGGATGATGTTGGCATGACTTCACAATGCCAGAAAAGTTAAAATCTATTTATGCCCAAATGTTCAACCAACTTTCATTTCATTTGAGAAGAGAGAATTTGAGGCATGTCATCACTTTTGTACCGAGTATCATATTCAGTGCGTGAAAAAGCGAGTGTGATATTGCTTCAAAAGGAAACTAATATTGAGTAAGACAAAAAATACAAGCAGCTGTTTTGTTTATTTATTTATTTATTTTTTGCTGGACAAATCTATTTTACAATTCAACGAAGCCCTCTCGAGCGACGTCACCATGGTTTGGTTTACGGTTTTCCCAGGTTTCCAGCAGGTTTGCTTATTTTTGCACGGCATCAAGCCTTGGAACACCGTTTGAGACGAAACTAACAGTTTTAACATTCATTTCATGTCAAAATTATCATAATTACATATTTCTGGCTTGATGTAATGAATAAATCATTTTTTTGTTTTATTAAACACTGTTAAATGTGATTTTTTTTGTTCTTTGATATTATATTAATATTCATTTAATATAATAATATTTAATATTATTTTTTTGCTCTTTAATTCTACAATATTATTTATATATTTATAAAATATAAATATATAAATATATTTTATATAATATTATCCATTTTGGTATTATTAGCATTACTGTTGAAAGTTGTCCTAATACAGTAATTCTGACATCACAATAGCCTACACTACCATTCAAATACATCATTTTGGAAAGAAATTAATACTGTTATTCAGCAAAGATACATTAAATTGATCAAAAGTGACTGTGAAGACATTTGCAATGTTAAAATATTCTATTTCAAAGAATCCTGACAAAAAAATACATCACAGTTTCCACAAAAATATGAATGTTTTTTTAACTGTTAATAATAATAAGTGTTTCTTGAGCAGCAAATCCTCATATTAGAGTGATTTCTGAAGGATCAGGAGTAATGATGTTGAAAATACAGCTTTGATCACAGGAATAAATTACACTTCACTGTATATTCACATAGAAAACAGCTGTTTTAGACGGTAATAATATTTTTTAGTTTTTACTGTATGTTTTATTAAATAATTGCAGCCTCGGTGAGCAGAAGTCTTTTTTTTAAACGTTTAAAAATCCAAACTTAGAGTATCTGACTGTGAAGTGACTGCAAATCAACACGTGTCACATGACATGAAAAGGTGTTCATTTTAACACAAAGAACCAGCATAAGACAGGTATCTGTGACTCAAGAAGGACCTGAGAGAAACCTTTCCTTAATCTCTCTCTCTCTCTCTCTCTCTCTCTCTCTCTGTTTTTCCTGGCAGTAGGATAAACATGATGTGCACATTCCTGAGGTTGCTATGGAGACGCTGAGAAAGCACAGCTGGAGCTGGAGAATATGAGGTAATCCTGAGCCCCAGGGGCTGCTGGGTAAATATTGATCTTGAATAAGAAATAAAATGAGAAGAAATACAGTAAGGAGACAATGACGGCGTCCGTGCAGAGCAGTTAATGTTTCCTCGCGTGAACAGAAGGCGAAAGCGCAGGACGCCGTTTACAGCAAAGATGGTTTTTAAAAATGTCTTGAGCTGTAAAGCGGACCCCCCTCCGCGGGACTCAAACAAACACTGCTCTGAGATCACCATAAATCCATTTTTGAGTAATAGTTCACCCCAAAACAAACACAAATAGAGTGTTTAGGATGGGGACAGACAGTGTCAAGCTACAAAAATGCTTAAAAAGTACCATAAAAGTAGTCCATTGCTGTGCCTCACCCTTGAAATGAAAAAGAGCCCAGGGTTGGAAATGAACTGGAGCTTAGAGCAAGAAAGATACGGGGCAAAAAATGTCCCTGTGTCAGTTCTTGTTTTCTTGAATGTCTCAGAGCAACGTGTAATGTTTCGTTACTGAATGAATCAAAATGTTCAAACGAATGACTCAACGAATTACTCATAAACACAGACACTTGCTTTGTCCTTTTGTGAACGAATCAGCCGCTTTGAACGAATCTTTTGAGTGAATGATTCAATGACTAATTTGTTAAAGTAATAGTTCACCAAAAAATCATCCCATAATTTAGTTCCCCACACTGTAAAAAATATTTTCAAGATTTGTTATCACAACATATTTTCTTTTGTCAAATCAACTTTATATAATTTATTTAGTTGAGACAACTTATTATTTTGAGTTTCTGATGGTTAAATTAATCTACTCACTTTTTCCAGTTCAATCAACTTAAAATTTTAAGGCAACCCGGGTTACTTACTTTTTTAAGTTAAACCAACAATATTTTTTTACAGTGTAGTAATCTAATCATAACATTTTTTCTTTTGTCAAATCAACTTAAATAATTTATTGAGTTCAGATAACATATAATTTTGAGTTTCTGATGGTTAAATTAATCTCCTTCATTGTATTAACTCACTTTTTCCAGTTCAATCAACTTAAAATTTTAAGGCAACCAGGTTACTTACTTTTTTAAGTTAAACCAGCAATATTTTTTTACGACTCTCTTCTGAGTTTTTAAAGCTCCATCATAAAAGTAATCCATACGACTTCTGAAGTGAAGTAATGGGTTTTGTGAGAAAAACATCCATATTTAAAGCTTTATAAACTATAATCACTGGCTTCCTGCAACGGCCGCGCATTCACGATAGAGTCGAGGTCTGGCGGAAGAGTGACCTTTGACCCCACGTATGATGTAACTCCCCTTCTATTATATCAAAATCCTCTGACATTTTCTTTAAAACGTCTCGTTTTAGACTTTTAATTCTTGACCGGTGTTTTTTCTTCTTCCGCATTCGTCAATTCTCAACTTAGCATTTGTCATGTGTCGAGTCAGAGGTCATATTTACATATATACTGTATACACTATTTATTATTTATTAAATTAGCTTTTTTATATATATTTAACTTTAGCTTTTAGTTTCTTTCGGTTTCAGTTTAGTTTCGTCTATCTATGGAAATAGTTACGCCGACGGAGTGTTTGCC